GGAACCTTAAGGGGCGTGGAATCTCCAGGGAACCTTAAGGGGCGTGGAATCTCCAGGGAACCTTAAGGGGCGTGGCTCAGGGTGGTGCATAGGATTCCAGTTATCATAATCCGATCTTCCTTATGTCTGGCTGCTTAGTCCTGCCTTCATTTTCAAATGGTTACAGGCTATTGATTTATCTAGAAAACATTATTTGCGATTAATGCAAATTCAACTGCAATTCTGCAATTAGATGAGATCCTTAGCTTTGTAGAATATTTCTTTTAACAGCTGCTCGCTATAGGATACCCTATACGTGGTTCGATGATCAAAAAAATTAAAAAACTAATCCTAGTGGTAGGAATGTTTAACTTAATTTACATTGGGAATTAAGATGATTGACTTTGGAAAAAGGCTGCAGGTCTGGGGCTTTAGTCTTCCTCGTGGTTTAGAAGAAGATCATCTTCCTGTGTAAGGACATTTGACCTGGTAGAGCCCAGGTGTCCAAAATGGAATGAAAATCTCGTCTTTCTAGGGTTGGGTACCGAAACCCAGTCCCAATATGTAAATTGCAACATCACAATGGACCCAGATGCAGTACTCACATTGTGCAAGGATGTGATGTTTTTAAATAATTTGAAAATAAAGATTTCATAATTTAAAATAACACTAACACTCTTTGGGGTGCAGTTTCACAAATAACTAAAAAAAATACTGATCTATATAATAGAATGATTTTGTCTGAATTAAGCCTAGAACTACATCTTTATTAGATAGGCCTATACATTTCTCCTTGCGCTGTGCATGCGCAGCTAATTTTCCCCGGTATGCCTCTCTTCTTAATGGGAGGACCGCCCATGATCTAACGCCTTGATCTGTGTGGAATGACGGGGGAGGCGTGAGGGATACAGGGATGCCGCAGGAAGGAAGCACACACTCAATCTAATCATAACCAGAAATTCTCTGACATAGTGTTGTCATTGATGGAGGGTTTTATTATTTGCATAAATCAAGAAAAATATAGTCAAGTTGATCGGTATGTACCGGACCATATTGCAACGCAGATTCGGTAGCTCATTTCGGTGCCGATTGAAATATCTTCCCTCTGATGTTCAGGCAACAGAAGCATCACTGCGTGTCAGGAGCCATCGCTAGTTAACATTAACTCTCGCTGATGTCCGCAGATGCCTAACTTTATCTAGTGGTTACATTAAGCACGGTTAAAATGCCTATAGCTATGTTTATATACTTAGTAATATTTTAACAGTTAAGGAGATATACTCACCTAAAGGATTATTAGGAACACCTGTTCAGTTTCTCATTAATGCAATTATCTAATCAACCAATCACATGGCAGTTGCTTCAATGCATTTAGGGGTGTGGTCCTGGTCAAGACAATCTCCTGAACTCCAAACTGAATGTCAGAATGGGAAAGAAAGGTGATTTAAGCAATTTTGAGCGTGGCATGGTTGTTGGTGCCAGACGGGCCGGTCTGAGTATTTCACAATCTGCTCAGTTACTGGGATTTTCACACACAACCATTTCTAGGGTTTACAAAGAATGGTGTGCAAAGGGAAAAACATCCAGTATGCGGCAGTCCTGTGGGCGAAAATGCCTTGTTGATGCTAGAGGTCAGAGGAGAATGGGCCGACTGATTCAAGCTGATAGAAGAGCAACTTTGACTGAAATAACCACTCGTTACAACCGAGGTATGCAGCAAATCATTTGTGAAGCCACAACACGCACAACCTTGAGGCGGATGGGCTACAACAGCAGAAGACCCCACCGGGTACCACTCATCTCCACTACAAATAGGAAAAAGAGCCTACAATTTGCACGAGCTCACCAAAATTGGACAGTTGAAGACTGGAAAAATGTTGCCTGGTCTGATGAGTCTCGATTTCTGTTGAGACATTCAAATGGTAGAGTCAGAATTTGGCGTAAACAGAATGAGAACATGGATCCATCATACCTTGTTACCACTGTGCAGACTGGTGGTGGTGGTGTAATGGTGTGGGGGGATGTTTTCTTGGCACACTTTAGGCCCCTTAGTGCCAATTGGGCATCGTTTAAATGCCACGGCCTACCTGAGCATTGTTTCTGACCATGTCCATCCCTTTATGACCACCATGTACCCATCCTCTGATGGCTACTTCCAGCAGGATAATGCACCATGTCACAAAGCTCGAATCATTTCAAATTGGTTTCTTGAACATGACAATGAGTTCACTGTACTAAAATGGCCCCCACAGTCACCAGATCTCAACCCAATAGAGCATCTTTGGGATGTGGTGGAACGGGAGCTTCGTGCCCTGGATGTGCATCCCACAAATCTCCATCAACTGCAAGATGCTATCCTATCAATATGGGCCAACATTTCTAAAGAATGCTTTCAGCACCTTGTTGAATCAATGCCACGTAGAATTAAGGCAGTTCTGAAGGCGAAAGGGGGTCAAACACCGTATTAGTATGGTGTTCCTAATAATCCTTTAGGTGAGTGTATATTGTTCAAGGTGAAGTTCAAATTTGCCTTAGAAATAAAAATCCGTCGTTTAATAGCATCGACTATCATTTTGTGCTTTATTTTTTTAAGGTGCCTGTTGGTTCCGTGTCCGTTTCGGTACTGGCACCGTTTTTAAAGTAATGTTTTAGGGGAAAAAAAACCCAAACGACACACAATCCGAATTCTAACATCATCCTAAAATGGACAGCAAAGAAGATTAAAACTGCAATCAAAACAGATACTAATTATATCTCCCAGACGATTAAACTCAAGCAAACAAGTAAAGCCACTCCCAGAGTTTGTTGGAGTGTATAACTTCATCTGTAATAAAGAGAAAACACTCCTTCCACAAAGATGTTTTTGGAAACCGTCCCTTGAGGTTATTGTGCATCGAGTGGCTTCTCATCTAATTGCATTACAACTGACTCGCCGCTAGTCCGCGCTGTTGCTGACTTTATGACTCTAGGGTCTGCAGTCTTCCGGTGCGTCCGACCGGTTTGGTCTAACTTTTGGCCATTAACGAACAAACGGGACAGTAAATACAGAAAGTTGTGTGGATGGAAGACGGGGATTTCCTCGGTGAACAACATAAACGCGAGTTTGAGAGCCAATGTTTGATGCTGCTTGTGCTCTCTCCTTAATTCGGGATAGGGGCGTCGCTTGTGAGTCAAACAAGTACTGCAACTCGCTAGCTTGCTAGAAATGCCATGTTGGAATATTTTCTGCATGAATCGGACCGGAAATACGTTACTCTGAAATTAGCCTACTACAGCAAATCTTTAGCCCACACTACAGCACCAGGAAAAGTGGACAAGAAACTGTGAAGGTGAAACAGAAAACAAATTGCAACTCCAGGAGAATATACTGCATGGGATTTACACGTAATAGGTGGAGCTCGCATATTTCAAGGAATGCGCTGCCGATCTAAAGTCACATTACATGGAAGCTTTGTGTTAGGCGTGACGGTATCGGTTAAGTGACCTTATAACTTCCCTATCATTTTGGTTTCCACTCTATCGTGTTTAATCATTAACGACGAGTGGTTTATTTCCTCGTTTACCATTTCTAATGGGAGTGTGCTTAATAGGAAGAACAGTACTACCGTGGCCCCTTCTTCATACCGAGGTGTACATTACCCTTCCTTATACTTTCACATTGTTTTTCATAGTTTTTTTGCCCTGTTTTCAACACAACAAAAATGTTTCATCTGAATGTTGTAAAAATTAAACTTATTTAATAAAAAAAATCGAGTAGCTTTTTTTTTTTCTTCAAATTATTTTTTACAACAATTCATACAATTACAAACTGGTCGACAGCCTAGTTTAAAAACAAATATCTTAATTTTCACCTGACATTCAGCGGAAGAAAGGGAATCCATGGGGTGCCACCTGGTACAAACAACATGTACAAGGTACAAACAACATTGGTGTACCCTCACTGGTACAGTACAAGTTATATTTACCTACAGGGTACAGCCCCAATGACAAGCAAAGGTACAAATCGGTACCTTCTTTTTTTCTGACAGTGTAAAACATTTTTGTGTAGCTCCAGGCTTCCAGTCTACTGCTCCTATTCTCGAGCACATGTCACTCATCCGGAACCAAGAGAAGGACACGCAAAGCAGTGGAGGGGGTCCTGTGCCTTCCCCGCGGTCACAGGATGGTACACGTCTTCTTCTTGCACCTCTGCTTTGCCTTTCGCTTGGCTGCCAGCGCCAGCTTCGTAGCCTCCAGGAAAATGTCCTCCACGTTCTCCCGGTACTTGGCAGAGCACTCAAAATACAGTTCGGCGTTGATCTGCTCCCGCACCTCCTGACCCTGTGTAGATGAGAGAGCGGGTTGGTGGCTGCGCAGCACTGTCCTGGATGCTGAGAAGACTATGGTGTCACTGCTATGAACACAGCAGTGGCAGGAGTGATTATAAGGTGACTGGTGGGAAGATCTACTTTAGCACTATAGCACTTTTCCCATTAAAACAATATAGTGGCTGGATAGAATCACAGGACACAGACAGTTACAAAACACAGCTTTTAGGGACATCTGTTAATCTAACAGTGTGCTCCCAGACTGAGGTAAGAAACCAGAAGGCTTTGAGTAGAGGTAGAACATGCAAACTCTAGCTTGCATGAACAGGGCTTATGTACCTGTAGATAAGTGATAGGAGCCTGATCTAAGGCCTTGAGCTTCCTGGTTTTCTCCTTGTCCTTCCTCAGGTCAATCTTGCAGCCAATCAGGATGAAGGGCACACCTTTGCAGAAGTGGTTTACTTCTGGGTACCACTGTGATTGGGTGGGATAAGAGTGTCAAATCCAAGAGATACAGCTGAAAGCATAGGTAGGAGTGTCGCTAATGGTGATGGTCTTTTTTTTGTACATCCATCTAATATCCATGTTTTTAATAAAGAAGCTTTCATACCAAACCTTTGTGAAAATATGCATATTGCATAATCCTTGCGTGCTGAATATGTATATATTTTTCAATGCATCTGCTGTTGTCCAACATGGTCCCATCTGTCTTTGCACTACTGTTTGTCCTGTGACACGATGTCCTACCCCACAACGGTATAAGAATTTTACCGTGTTCCTCGGAATACATGTGACAATTGAAATCTGAAACTTTATTTTTTAAAACTGTGTAGTCGGGCATTGTAGTCCATGTGCTCACTTATCACCTACAGCTGATAAGTTCTGATTTGGAAAAACGTGACATTTTCGTAATCTCCCACCTTAAAAGGTATGGCAGTAAAGGCATCTGTGTGCATGGCTGGAAATGACAGGGAGGGGGGGGGGGGGGGGGGGGGTTGTAATGCCCTCAATGATCAAAACCAGCCTCCCACAAATAATCAATAAATGGGTGAAGACCTCAACCACCCCATCATGTTTACCCCAAGGTTACGCCCTTGTCTCTGTGCCATGTGGCTAACACCATACTGGATACGTGTTCCTGTTTTTGTGGAGTGTGCCGGGTGATTGGTTGGCATCTGGTAAGAATGTGGTTCCCCCACATCATAATGTACCTTCAGATGGGATACTTAACAAGATCATTATAGCCCGGAATCTGACTTTGAATTTATGCTCTGAAAAACTATATCCCACAATGCATCTCATGCCACTTTGTATTATAATGATCAGCTTGGTGCAGCATTCCAATGGGGTGATGCAAGGCTGTTTAGTCACAAAACATTCAATCGGGGTGAGAGAAATAGCCTTTACCTTGCTCAATACATTGTCAAAACTGGTGGGGTTGGTGACGTCATAGCAGATGAGCACCACACTCGCGTTCTGGTAGGAAAGAGGCCTCAGGCGATCATAGTCATCTTGTCCTGGAACACAAACACTCACAATGAGTTAACTGTCTGGTTTGTGCCGTAAAGATTTTCTGAAAGTGCTGTGCAACCACCCAGCCCCAGGACACTTCAGGTTGCGGAATGACACATAGGTGACGTGTCTGATAATACCGAAGATCTACAGCAGCTCTACTGCATACATTTCTACCAGATAGCATATTTATGTACATGCAAACACATTAAGAAGTTGGGGTGTTGAGTGGCTTTGTGGGCTAGGACTCTATACCCGTACTCGGAAGATCACTGGTTCAAATCCCATGGCCAGCACAGCATGCCACCATTGGGCCTCTGAGCAAGGACCAAGGATTGCAATTGCCCCAGGGGCTCTGGACATTGTCTGAATGATGCCTGTGACCCAAAAGCTTGCTGTCTGTGTGGTTCCTGGAGAGCAATATAGGGTTTATGCAAAGACATTTTCCCCGGGGGGGGGTGACAAAAATATCACTATTCTAAAGGAAGTCTTTGTATGGCTATCAGTGATTTCAATTGTGCCAGATGTGGGGGCCCCAGCATCCCGGGGACAGCCGGGCTGTCGAGCTCTCAGGACTCTCCACGCTGCAGTGCCGACACTTCTCAGAGATTGGAGCGATTAACAAAACACATCCAGTCAATGGCAGTTTTGCTGGCAAAACACTTCAGAGGTCAGAGGAGAACGGCCAGAATCATTTAGAGTAACAGGAAAACCACAAGTGCAAAAATATCAGCTCAGTACATGCATGGTGTGCAGAAAGGCATTTCTGGATGTACGATCCGTCAGCCTTTCTGGTTCTGGAGCAAAACGGGGTCATTCCTGGTGCTGAGGAGACCGTGTGCGCCCGTGTGCTCTGCCCGACCAATTCTGAGGTGCGACGCTATCATGAGACAAACTTTTCTGCCCCATTCACAAACTGCGGGGATTTAAATCATCAGGTGGCTTTGGTGTACATTTTCTTTGCCGGTCCCACATGTCACAGTGAAAACCTTAAATAACCCCCATCACGCAAAAACAAGCAAGAGAGCTTGTTTAAAGTTTTTTCCACGGTATCTTTAGACATCGTGAGGCGAGTTAAAACTGAAGCACGATGATAACGTAAAGAAACCCACTTCCTTAGCCAGGCTTCCTCTTCCTGTAGCAATGAACGCCATTGCTGCATTGGCGTCGGAGATAATCGGCTGTACTTAGGCCCGCTTTGAGGCCAGAGCTCCACTCTTGTCTTAAACCCCAATACCTCTTGCTATCTAAGGATGTTATTTTTTAACATCCTGTTTAGCAGAAATGGTTATTTGACAGTTGACCAGTCTTTAACATCAACCCTTTATAAAAAAAAATAAAAAAATTGCAAGTCCATGTAACAAACTGGCTGTCAACTGATGCCCTGATGCCCTGTGCTGCACCGGATTGGCTCTGGGTTTTTACCATGATCCTGCATTAGAAGAAGGAGAGGATGGAAGTATAATTTGATACGTGATTATATTTAGCTACCTGCTATGACAAGCAAGGTTATACGAGTCTGCCTTCCCTAGCTAAGAATCTGTGCTGAAACATCCACCCTTGAACCAGGACTGTTTCCAAACTTTGGTAGCTCCTGGATACAGTTTGACAAAGAGATCAAAAACACATCAAAAAGTCCAGCCTACTTTAACACAAGTCTGAACAATCGTTAGCCTGTCTCACCGCATATGACACGACTAACACATTTTTAAATTTCGCTCTTACATCTCATGTTAAATTCACTACAGCAGTTTCCTAAGAACTGTAGTTGCTTGCTCATTCGATAAATAAGCAGTATTGTGATGAGGCATAAGTACTGTTGTGGTTGCTGAAACATTTAGATTTTTGTTTTCTTTTTCTGTGCTGGTTGGATACTCGACATGGGCACATAACGGCATAATTGTATAATACCAATGCTGTCTATTCTGTTCTGGTCTGTTTTTTTTTCTGTTTACATGAAAATTCAATGAAAATCCAATAAAAAGTTGAATTACAAAAAAAAAAAAAAAAGCAGTATTTACCCATTGCGGTGACACATTGCAAAAAAAAAAAAAGGATGGTTCTTGAAAGATTGGCTATCTATGTTAAAAGTTGTTTTTCTGTTTTGTTGAGCAGACGCGAAGACAACTCATCTGTCACCACATCCTTTGTTGCCATGGCAGCTGGTTCCTCTACCGAGAGTGAATTCCAGTGTCCTGGCGTGCATGTGCTACGAGTCCATGCACAGGGGTGAACTTTCTGAAGGGGTGATGCATGTAGTGACCTATTATCAGATGGTGTTTAGCATCTTGAATACGTTGATGTGAATCTTTCATCTTCAGATGTCCAGCAAGCTTTTATAAAAAGGTATTAGACAACCCAGGAACGGAAGATCAGAGACAGATTTCTGCTCAATCCCATGCTTACCATCAGGGGTCATCAAACTGATCCTGAGGACTCCTTTTTCTGGGTTCTGTTCCACCTTATTTAAACATGGTTAAAGAGGAATGGTACTCTACCCATGGCAACCGCTAGCAGTTACCAGCTACCAACTATACTCTTTAAGTCCCCTTTCATACTTTTTACTGTTATGTGAACAAATAAAAGTGAAATGTGTCACCTTGATTTTAGTTCTTGCACTCTCAGAAAAAAGGGTAAAAACTTGTACCTTAGCCTGTCACTGGGGCTGTCCCCTGCCAATTGTACCCTTAGCTGCAGATAAATGTACCTTTTAAGGCACAAAAATGGACTCTGAGGAACATTTTATACCATTGATGGTATATTTATGCTGTTTGTACCTTTGGGACCACATATGGCACAATTGAAATCACTGATAGCCATCTTACAAATAAGTCAATAATCTTTCAAATAAGTTTTTCTGTTTGTTTTTTTTCAGCCTGTGCTTTTATTTAATATGGGTACAAACTGAGCTCTTGGACACGCTGAGATGTTGGAGGTCAATGGGACATTTGCCCCCCTCCCCCATCCATCCGGTAAGTAATCGGTGTGTTGACAGGGAGACGCTGGGCAGCCTGGAGTGTGGTTTGTCAGGGGTCGTCGTGGGGACTCACCTGCGGTGTCATAGAGGTGCAGCAGGATCTCCTTCCCTCCGTATGTCACGGTCGTGGCGTATTTCTCAAACACGGATGGAGCGTATTTCTGCAATGACCCAGATCATTAGCAAAATGATTACTTCTGTCCGGGAAGCAATGTCCTGGTGATGACATATATCTACGTGGCAATGCCCAGCCCAGCATATTTGCAGAGAATTACACTGTGAGACAAATAAAGTCAAAGAGGGTACAATGACCTTAATTACAGCAAAACCACCACCAAAGGCATTAAATACTTGCCTACTTTTATTGTCAAAGTGCTACATATGGTTGAAATCATCTTACTGATGCCAGATGTTTTTAAGAGATTTGCTCTTGAGAGACAACTAACTTTAGGTGTATTGAGCCCTGTGACCTTTGAGACTTGTTCGTTTTTTGACTCCTATGCAGAGTATTTGCCAAACCAAGATAATGTGAACAGAACACAAATGTGTGGGGTAACACAAAGGAGCAAATGATGCTTGTTGGGGAAATAGTTGTATCTTCAATACCATGGAGTAGAGTTCAGGCTGTATAAACAGGCCTGTAGAAGATTACTTACTTTTGGTTTAAAGTACAAATAGCAAGGGGGTAACAACCATATATACAACATACATGAACAGCTTTAACTTAAGCGCAAGATCACAGAAAGTTATTCCACGTGCCAAAATGATCTGGACAACCTCATAAATGAGCTAGCAAGTTGTAGTGAAGCACAAAACCACTTAGGTGTTGCCATGACAACTTGAAAAGGTCACTTCAAGTTTTCGGTTTTACTGTTGCCAAATTCTTTGCACATTAATCATCTGCTCTTCCCACCCACCCTGTAAAATATGTCCGTGAAGAATCCAGCTATTGAACCCAAAAGTATTTTGTATGTCTTATGAAAGCTTTTGACAACTTTTAAATTCAGTTAAGCCAATTTCCTCTGGGAGATAAAATAGTAATAAAAGAACAATGTCTTATGCAATAGCCGATTGCTGACTTTTGCAATACATTGCCTAAATTTCAAACGTTTGAAATTTCATGCATTTGAAAAAGCTAGCATAGGATTTACAAGTATGAGGCTTGTCACATAAAATAAAAAATAGATATCTTGTGATACATTATAATACATTTAATTGGTGCTTACATTTAAAAAAATGCTGTTTGTGTCATGGAAATACATATGAGAATTACAGGTATGAAAGTTACTGCAATATTATTTTTGATTTCAATAAACATGTATTATGCAATACTACATTCTTTCTGAAAAAAAAGACCAGTCAAATACAGAGATGCCTGGCACTCTGCGGGATAGATACAACATCCGCTGTTTAAAAGCCACAGGACAGATCAAACAAGATGAAGACTTATAAGACATCCATGTTTTTTCTTGGTTTGTATGTTCTATCTTCACATTGTGGATCTACATGAAAAACTATTAAAACATGTTTCAGTGAAATAAGGATACTGCTTAAGCAGCATATAAATGCAATATAAGATCTGAAAAACCATGATTAAAAAATGAATGTGGATAATTAAAGTTACTATGCAAAATATACAGAATTTACATATATATGAATAAAAAAACATTTAAATCCACATATTTAATTCCACATTTTTATTCAATTTCACTTAAATTTTGAGGTCAAAATTCAATTGTTGTTTCACCACAAAAAAAATGACTTTGTGTCTAATTACTGAGTTTAAATGGGTTTCATTTTTGGACATGAAAAGCAGCACTCTCTTATAAAGATGGCGATAAGATATTTTTGACGCTGATGAAACAAGCCACAACCTGGAACTGCTGCACACCTGTTTTTTATGTCTCATAAATGAACAACTCTTCAAATTATGACACGTTAATACAATTTCAGCCATTGTCGAATGGTGAACCGTACAGCCGCATTTGCTGTTATCAAGATCGTGAGGAGAGTCGGCAAACATTACAGATGCAGCCTAACCAGCTGCCAGAGCAGAAATCCTCTGGCTGCTTGGACAGACCTACCTCTGGAAAGTCCCCTTTGGCGTAGACCATGAGGAGGGAGGTCTTTCCACTGGCCCCATCCCCCACAATCACAATCTTCAGCTCCTCCACGTGGACCCCCCCCTTGCCGCCGACTGCAGAGCCATTCTCTGCCATGATGGCGTTAAGCAGCTAAAGCTGGTGGAATGCTGGGAAGAGGTCCAGGTGTGATCACTTCACCCGCCGGTAAGCTAGGCGTCCGGCTGCTGGAGCCTCCGTCATGGAAGAGGGGACTCTGGCGAAACGCGCAAGAGGATCCTCTGGACAGGGCAACACGGTGTTCTGCTGCTGTCAGGTAGATGGAGCATAATCCTGACAGCCGTCCCACCCCTGAGCTTCAGTTTCTCACAATGTGGAACTCTACTTCCTCTAAGTCTGTCCGGAAGCCCTTGCGCGGTGAGGCCTTCCGTGGTCTCACACTTACGTGAACACGGTTGCACGCCCTACTCACCCCGCATACCTTATTCAGAAGGTCTGTCTCACTATCTGGCAGAAAACAGGTGCTGCTTCTGCTCCAGAAGGTACCCCCCAACACACACCTCAACACCTCCCTCTCTGTCAACCCCAGCATCATGCACACTGGCCAGAATGTGGACCGAAAAACAGGAGTGGGTCTCCCACAGCCCGCCTCTCACTTCCCCTCCACATCTGCACGCCATGCTTACAGACAAACACCACTGCTTAGCATTTTACACTTTAGAGGGGAAGACATTGTTTCATCAGCACTCAAAGATGGAAATCAATCTAGTATATATTGTTATCTAGCCAATAATGTTTATACTGTATGAAGGACATTATTTTCATTTTCCAAGAGCTATTATAATAATAAAAATGCCTGGTGCAAGAGCATCACAATAAGCAAAAGATGAATTTATAAAGCCCCCCTGTCTTTCTGTTCCTGGGGGCAAAATATGTGCACAAATGTGCTTCACAGGGAGACAGAGACAGAAACAGGACAAGCATGTAATAAAGACCATTGGCGCTTCAATGCCACCTAGAGGAATGACATCATCAAGATCACATGGAGTCAGTTTGGCAAAATAAAAACTTTATTATCACTCCAAAATGAACAAAAATGCTGACGGTACAAAAGAAAAGACTGAGCCATTAAACTAATCTAATGCTTTCGGTTCAAACACAGAAATATAGTAGGACAGGAGTGCGAAAACACCGACATTAAAATAAGTAATAAAATACCAAAAGACAAAAACGTTGTGGGCACTAAGAGTTTTCACGTGTTCGTATTATATACATGAAGATAAGCAGGTTTGGACTACTAGAAAGAATATATCATTCACTCTGTGTAGTGTAGGAAATTAAACATAAACTTTTCCATAGTCTGTATTGACAGATCAGAAGTTGTGTCATGTAAATAACAAATGCATTTCAGAAACGCGCTACCACTATTAACCTGATACTGAGAGCTAGCAGGCCGAACACCATTTACAAGTCAGGTCGCCATTTTGACACCCACCATCGAACTGTTTACAATGAATCGAGCAGTTACTTCCAATTTAAAGCTATAAATATTAACAGGTGGCCATTTATGATTCCGATCCCGGCAACGTTCACCAACACTTAATTAATCTTGTACAGGGACAGAAACCATGGAAGCAGAACTCGATGAGACGCCCAGGTTTAAATCCACATGAAGCTTGAGACTTGCATGGTTTCCTTTCTCTTTCAAGACTCTATTTCTGCGATCATCCTCAAATGACTGGTGCCCTCAGGTCCGTTACATAGTTTATGTTTCGTTTCGTTCATGATTCAATTACAGATTATCACTGGGCCACATGACCAAGTCTATACGTTTTACTGCAAAGAGCCAAATACCATATTACTCAATAGTGTTGTTTGCTTTTCCGTGTGTTTACCAGTAACCCGCTTAGGATCAAACCTCCGGGCAAAGTCACTCCCACAGTAACCAGTGAAACCGACCACTCACCACCACTGGTTAAACCGGTATTCCGAGGTATTTGCGTGACAACGTAAAACCAGTTCCTAACATAGTCGCATGTGGATCACATTTAGAACATAAAATATGTGGATATTTCACGTCGTTTACGTACTAATGCTTTTCACAATGGAGTTGGCTACCGGCCAATTTGAAGCACGATCTAGAAGGTTTATTTACTCATCTTAGAGTCAATATATAAATTAAACGTAAAAAATGCATAAAAATAACAACCAACGGCATTTCCCGTAGCAGGGAAATTAATGTGTTATGAAAAGATACTGTAAATGCTTAAGGTATATCAATTGTACTTTATTCCGATTGCAGCAAAGTTTCTATTTAAGTAACAATTGTGCAGGTTGGGAAGACCAAGTTTAACATTGTTTGATAATAGCCATTTATTAAAATATTACGTCGACTTGATGTTTGTTAATAACGCAATGCTTATGTTACTGGCTTATGACCTGATGTCCTAAGATCCTGATTGAGTTGTAATCTAAAAAAAAACGGGTTGGAAATAATTTATATATAAATCAGAATAAAAAATAAACATGTATTGATAATTTACGTAGGGTACATATAACTGGTTGGACATTTATGATTAGTTTAACAGAAGCATTAAGAGTGTACGTCGTTTTGGAGGCCTTACATACCTTTTGTTTCTGAAAGTAAATTGTATTGTACCTTTAAGCGGTTGTCAGAAATTTTCTGTACCTTTCGAGCTGGTTCACGCCAAAGCGTGGTTACCTTTGCGAAGACAAAATGGACGGATAACAAAAACTTGAATTGTAGCCTATTATGTATTATGGCCCTTGAGCTATTATTGTATAATTTTATTCTCAGCCAGACTGTACTCTATTACCTATTTAAACACACAGTAAAGGTGCTTTTTTCTCTCTCTCAACAGCCGTTCGTTTGATTCGACAATCATACAATGTACATTTAAATTCATTGTGACGTCGCAAATATTAAATAAGCAGAATTCCGGCAGTTTCGTGCTGGAGTGACAAAGAAACTGTTTAAGGCATATTTTAAATCCCACAGAATTCAGACAATACACAGTGCTGACCTTGTGACCCGTCGTCGCGAATTATGTGGTAGACATGGTCCTAAAAGGCTAGTTAGGGGGCCGGTAGCTCGTTGAAATTTTTGCACCGCGTCCACGCTTGTGAATGTTAAGGAGCAGTCAATGCGCTCGAGGAAAGGAAGGAAAAAGGCGTCTTCTTTTGAGATAAAAATGCACAGGAGAAGGACTCCTCGGACGCTAGAGCCGCTATGCGAAGCGCTGATCCCGGCCTCCTGGTCTGATGACCGTCACACAGTAATGTCCTGCCGCCGACAGACAAAGGGTGTTTTGTAGGAAGCGCCAGAGAATTCCTGCTCTGTTCATTACCCGCCCCTGTTCTGGGACATGAGCCAAAACCCTGTAACTTGCTGACAACAAAGAAAGGAAATTTGTACGTTCTTCATGTGTTAAATGTATATACCGCATGTAATTAAATTGATGATGAAATTAAACTTTCGATTAGTCATTACATCTCAGGCTTTTACATCTGCTCTTTATCTAATAGCCAAAGTAAAAAGAATATTTAAAGATTAACTGAACTTGCACACATCATAAAGCTATTTACGTCCACTGAATATAAAACAACGCCCCCCTCCCGCCACACTAACCGATGAAAATCACCTGAAGCTGCTTTGGCGTAAACACACAGACACACAAAGGAAAATTTCCAGATTATTTTTTTTTTTTTGTATATTGGGTAGATAAAATCTTGCGTTTCTGACATCTGTGAAAGTCTTCTTTGTTGCTGGAGAAATACGTCGAATCTCGGCATCAAATATTCTTAGAACGGGGGGGAAAAGAAAGGAGCCAGCAGAAGCATCGGTCTGCATATTCCCCTTTGCGCAGACTGCTCGAGCCGCCGCGCCGCGCGTCTGACATTACTTTTGCGACCATATATGGTGCGGTGGCGCGCGGCGAGCTGCGACGTGGCCGAGCGCGGCTGGCGTGCGGCCAGACTCTCAGATTACTGCCGCTCGCCAAGCTGTCAGTTTGCAGAGAGGAATGAGCGCGCTGCGAAATGGCTGCATCACCCCGGTATTACACATACCAGTAGAAAAACCGCTCATCAATGATACATTTCTGATGAATATGAAAAGAGAGAGAAAACGAGAGAGAGAGAGACACACACAATGTGTTATGCTTGGGGGATTCGCAGCTCTTCTTTCCAGAGACTAGACCTCGCTCAGCAATGGCGCAGCAGCATTTCCAACTCTTAATGATCTGCTTTGTGTGAAGAAGCCATTTTGAAATAGAGAACAGCAGAGAAGCCATTAACGCACAGTTCATAACAAAGGTCGCTTTTGGGAAAGAGGCAACGGGCAGCGCTGTCGTCAAGCCTGATTTTTACCCCTTATATGTCTTGTTTTTATTGTAATTAAGGCACTTCTTCATACACGGATCGCATTTACATAAAAATAAGTGTAAGTTTAAACAGTCTGATAATATTTTGAATTAACCTGTTTTATATGTCTGAACACTTCGTTATTGTTTCGTGTTGTTTGATAAGAGTAACAAACCTTACGAAATAATAAAATCCAAAGATTCATGTCATTGCCAAGAAGCTCTTATTAAGAATTATCCTAATGTGTTCCCATAATGAAAGCATTTAGCCAATACACAACCCATTACCTTAATAGGAGTATGATGTCCGCCGCAGAATTTAAGAGTCGCATATCTTTTTTCTTATTATCTTCGAATTATGCGAATAGCATCTGAGTGAAATCCTGCCTTCGGGAAGAAAGGGGGGGGGGGATGTTTGCATATTACTACTGACATAGATGTTGCTAGAAGGTTTTCACCATTTTTTTAAATGACGGTGAACGGTTCCTTATTTCCTGGTCATATTTTAAAAGAACATCTTTTTAATTGTTTGCTTTCTTTTTAGGACTCGGGGTCCCCCTCCCTTTCTTAAAAACAGCCAAGCCAGTAATAAAGGATCCGAAGATGGGAATGAAAACGATCCCTTTTCTTCTGTCTATAGGCCTGATAAATGTAATTCACCAGAATGTTAAGGTAAATATACTTTTTTTTTTTCAAAGAACAGTTCCTGCAGTTTTATTTTACAGTTTATACTGATTGCTGACACAGTTGTTTTGTTTCATATCTGTACACTTAACCCATGTTAAGGACAAATATTAGAATGCCCTTGATGCAAGGTCAGATTAAACTGCCTCAATATAACAGTTATATCCATTGGTTATTTCACACACATTATACTAAAACTACATCTCAAGGTGATTCAATTGGTTTTAATGTTGTAATATGTCACTACATAATTTCTGTTCAAAATGTTTTCCTTTTTTTTGAGGGGGGCTGTTGGTACTTGAAGGGGGTTAAAAGTTGCACCGACATTAACCAGCCAGACCTGTGATTCAGCATTATTATTATCACATTATTATTATCAATATTGTTATTTACTGCTATTTTTTTTAAAGGCCAGTCTTTTACTCATTCCGGCCTGCTGTGCTGTGACAAAACGTGAGATGTAATTAACTATAGTTAAGCCCTTAAATGGATTGACAAACAGCATGCAAATAAATGTACTGAAGAGTCCTGGCACAGAAAGGGCTAGTGGCTTGGGCTAATACAGAATCCTTTGAAGCACAGCACCTCCGCAGCTCAGAGATATTTTAATTACACCTTACTCACACAACATGAACATTTCCTTCTACAGCTATGTGCATCCATAAAGAAAATTAAGAAAAACTTACATATAGCTATAGGGATACCTGGCCACATACTGCTCAGTGTCAATGTGCCTTTACAATATCATATATTGATTATACTTGAATTGTTTTTTTTTCTCATAAGACAACAAACAAGCTGTTTATTCACTTAAGAAAGAAAATGCTAACATGGGTGTGCCATGACCTAGTTAGGACAAAGGTGAATTCCAGGAAGAGGAGAAAAATTATTACAAAAATCCAACATTTTATCTTCATTCTTCATATCCTTTAAATGAGGCAGATTTTGTAATAAATTCACATAGTCCATAAAGAGATGAGGAAATTAAATGTAAGATCCCTTTTGGAACAAAGGAAAAAACGTACTGGTTATTTAGTTCCAGTGCTGAAAAATGGCCGCCCTTAGCGCCTGGCCTCCTCTCGTGCTCTCTGTTGAAGGATGTGTCGTTTGAGCTTCTAATAGAAGAAGCTAAAATGGTGCTTCAATCTGATTGGCCCGCGGAGCCACTGCTGTTAACCAGCCAATTGCCCAAGCACCGCAAAATATAAGAGAATTTTCGCAAATGGCATTATCCACACTGTGTATTAAACAACACACAATAATAATTAAAAGGCTATTCATTTACTTTCCTCCTCGGGCCGTAGAAATAGAATGGAGAATATCAGCTTTCCTTTAAGTTGTTAATTTCTCTTTTGAGTTTTAAATATATATAACTACGGACTGTTCACGATCGAATAAATACAATCAGCCATGTTTGAGCGAACTTGTATCGGTTAAAGCACTCGCAAAAGAAAAACAAAAGTTAAAAGTGTCATGTTTAACAGCCTGGGTGGATTACAACTCAGTCGTAGTAGTCCAAAACTAACCTCTGATGTCCATCTTGTTTGCCGTTTGCGTAAATGCAGGCGGTAGATTCAACGCTTCCTCGCCGCACTAGTTTGAAGTCAAATGTTTCTTCGTGCAAGATCAGTATGTTAACATTGCGTATGCGGGTGGATAGCTATAAAAGAACATGCTGGTAATTTTTTTTTTAATCGAAACATTTTAGGTGAATTTTGTTATGAAGATTAGGATATCGAATGTGCGAGTAGAATGGCAGATTAGGTACTGGTGTAGTTCAATACTGGTGTATTGTGGGAGAGACCGAGGATCTAGGCTAGAAGCACAGAATATGTGTAGGCTCCCAAAACGGAGGCAGGATCCCTAAACCATCTAATGTAACCGGGGAAGGTAAAGGATCTCACCCTATCGGTTCAAACAAAACGTTCGCCTGGAGTCACCGACAACATGTCCAAGTCTGAAGACAGAAGCAGGCTAAATAAAGATCACGATAGAAAGCTGAGTTCAAGTGAGATTGCTCTTTTTCTTCCTCTATGTATGTTTCGGTAACGGGAATTCGTTCCCAACTCTTATATGTGTATTATTCGTGTTTTGCTGGACAACATGACTATTTGCTGTTAAATGTCTTGTCGCAACGGGCGTGCTCTACTTTTTTATTTAATCGTTTGTCTTGCTTTTCTCCAGGTCTGGCGAACGGAATGGAAAACAGTCATCCAGTTTGCAGCTCGGGCGAGAAGCGAAGTCACCATTGGAGAAGTTATAAGTTGATTATTGACCCAGCTTTGAAAAAGGGATCGCACAAAGTCTATCGCTACGATGGACAAACTTTTAGTCCGGGCGTAAGTCCATCGTTTTTACCGACGTGTTGAGGGGTAGAGACACTGTTACGCTTGTAACATTTCTGAGCCGAGTTGAACGTCTCTTCGGCAATACAATGTAAAGTCGCTGAGCCGCTCGCTCCAGCACCTGACACAGCGCGTCAGTGTCATCGGACTGTTTTTTACCAACTCCTCAAGGGTCCAGTGACGGCTGAAAAACTATATTTTCAACATTGTTTCGCCGAATGTTTTCCCAACTTAATCGTGGCCGTTTGCACTGTAATTTCCCCTTTAACGAGGATGCACTAATTGCGGTAACCCGAACACAGAGCTGGGCATCAATGTTTACGGCCGATGAAACTGACATTATACATTTTTTTAAATAACTTGTAGTTGTTCTCATTCAGAATCCTGGAATGCCACCGGTTGATATGGTCAGAGACCCGAGAATCGTTTCTCTTTGGACAAAGTACAAGGAGATCGATCTCCCGGTTCCGAAGTTTAAGGTAGGCACACCCCCCTCACAGACTTAAGCAAAAGTGACGTACGGTGATGTTTATAATAGGATCCGATGTTGCACTATCTGTAAATGTTTGTGATTTAAAAAAAAAAAAAACTTGTTTCCTTTAGATACCTTTATTAATTGAATTGATATTCAGGCTGCACAGATATTTGTGCTTTTTATTTTTAGATAAAGCTAGCAAGATTAGCGATGGGACGTTTTATTTGTTAGAAAAGTATTTTACATAGGCCTGTTTATTGTTCGGTGTATAGATCCTTTTGACAGGCTCCAGAGATGATGTAGTTTATGTGATTTTTGTGCTTATTTGACACATCCTACGTTACTGTTAATTACGGACAAATATTTCAAATGCAAAGACAATTTGTGTTGGACAGACAGTATCTATGCATCTTTTTTATTGTCATTCAATTCTTATTACTTTTTTTTCCCCAAGATCGATGACTTTTACGTGGGACCTGTGCCTCCAAAGGAGGTGACATTTGCAAAGTTGAACGACAACATCAGAGAGGGATTCCTGAGTGACATGTGCAAAAAGTACGGCGATATAGAAGAAGTTGAAATTTTGTATAATCCCAAGAACAAAAAACACTTAGGGGTCGCTAAGGTCGTGTTTGCCTCTGTAAAAGCGGCGAAGGATGCTGTCCGAAATCTTAACAATACTTCAGTCATGGGAAATATTATCCACGTGGAACTGGACCCGAAAGGTAAGTAACTTTAAAGTAACTTTATCTATTTTGCATTATCTATTTGCCGACTTAAATTGCTCGTAACAAGCGATCAGAGTATGTGAATTATACGGTCCGGCCTGTTATAAGGACACGTTGTAATTTGCCTAGTAAACGTAAGTCACGTGTAGAAATGAATAGTGTCGGTTGCTTAGTAACCGCTATAAATGCAGATTGTCAAAAACTTCCTGAGCTTGGTGACCCATCGTAGCTAAAATCAAGTAATGCACCGCAATATGGACACAGTCATTAAGTTGGACAATTGTTGTGTAATTATGATTCCTTTAGAAGGAACTTGGTATATATCACTTTTTAACCGGCTTGGTAATTCTTCTAATTAATACCTTTAGCTAGTGTACTTGTGGCATCTCGTTCAATGATTACCTAAGTCAGTTTCTTGTTAAGTAAGATTAAAAGAAGTTGGTCAACTAGATAAATTTAGGTTTTTTTCGAGACGCATGGCCTGTCAGATATGCAACAGTTGGTCGTAGCTCAGTCTGTGTATAAATAACTTGTTTGATTCGCCTGATATTTTAGCTGATTCGTACAGTGCTATTACTTTATATTTCAGTGTTCAGCACTAGCTTATTAGACGCGATATTTAGGAATCAGGCCGCTCGCAGCTTTTCCCAAATCGTCTATAAACTCGTAATTCCACGCATCTCCTTTAAATCGCAGGGCGCTGTCAGATAGAACGTCCCTTACTCTTAAAGGGACAGCGGCCAGTTTTGCCCGTCCCTGCACCACCAATATGTTAACTTTAAGACGTAACAATTAGATATCCATAGTTCGGTGTTTTTTATATTGAATGAAATAGTTTGTAACTTGCTGTTTCACTTTATTTCGACATCTAGTTAGTGCAGGAAAAAAAAAAATCATATAGCTTTAATTGATTTGCAACAAAATGTAAATACCAACTGGAAATTAATTTGATTACAGTGATTACTTGGCCCTTTCTAAATTTGCAGATTTTTAATGTTTTTTTTTTCTTTTTCGGCTGTTGTATCTGATACCCTTACTGTGCTATTGGTATAGTATTAGACTGAACCTTTACTTTCTTCTTGACTTGTGTCTGTTGCTTTGTCATCATAATGTCTTCATCGTGTATAATATCACATGGCCCCCCAACAGTGTTTGAATAACTAGTAATTTTTGCCAGTTTGGGGTCTTTGTCTGGGCCCTGCTTTGAGGTTTCCTCATCTGCATGTTCATCCAGGTGAGAATCGAATGCGATACTTCGAGCTCCTGATCAATGGCAGCTTCACCCCCAAGACTCTTCCAGTGGGGTTGGCGGACCCGCGGGAGGTGTCGCGGGAGGTGTCGCGGGAGGTGTCACGGGAGGTGTCGCCCCGCAGCCTGGCTGAAGCTCTACTGGTAAGAGCAGCACCTCTAAGGCACTCATGGGAGAATCCTTTTATGGCTGGGGGTGTCCAGACAGTGGTGCCTCATCGTTTGGCTGATGTTCATTGGGCCCCTCAGCTACCTTCCTCATCCAGTTGCTTCCAGCTGACTGTGACTAACACCTCTGTCCCAAAACGGGAGTGTTTTGGAATGTGCCAGTTGAAATCCCTTTGGAAGATGGACAAAACCCCAGTAAAATGGACTCGAAGCATGAAAGCAGAAGATATTTCTCCTGTTCCTAAAAATGCTACAGATCTTGTAGTAACAGATCTTAAGAGACAGTCGTTCTGACTAGTCTGACTGATCGGTATCTTGGTATAATATTTAGTAATTTATAAGGCCCAACACAGGAAGGTGATTACTCCCCTTCAAAAGCCTGTATGTGCAAGCAAGTGGTGGCAGTAGCGTGTTGACAGATATGAATGAATGGCAGTAATCAGAAACACTGACAGGGCAAAGTCTGCGTTTGCCACAAGTGTTGAATCAGCCTGTAATCACGCCATGGAGGTAAGGATGCAAGCAGGCCGCTGTCCCGCTGAGCCACTCCCAGCGAGGGCCGTGAAAAAGCCAGGCGTCCGCCAGCTGACAGCCCTCGCTGCTAATCCGTTTTACCAGCATGGCAGGTGGCCGGTGTGGAACTTGCTGGAATCTTCCAGAAGCACCTGGAGAAGCTGTCATTTTGCCTTTTGACATTTAAACAATCGTGATTTGTAAATCCTGTTATGGTTCATTATTGTTGTTGTTTCTTTACTCTTTATTCCTGTTTTATGCTACTTTTTATTCCTTATTACTGTAACCTGCTAAATGTCTGCCACTGCTTTTGGTGTCTTGGCCTAAGTTAGCATCCGTTTAAGCGGATGGTTATTTAACAAAGTAAATCAGGTTAAGTGCTGAGTTCTGCACCATGCTATAATTTGTGGTAACAATCCCCTCAACAGGGATTTGAACCAGCTGGCCTATTAATTAAACTTAAATAACTGCTACCCGCCTTCTGTGCTATAAGAAAAACAAATTAATTAGAAGGCAGCACTGTTTTTATTTTTTGTTTTGTTGTTATTAGTTGTTTGTGTGTTTGTAGGTTCTGCGTTTTTATGGGATTTATCACTGTGGACGTCATGCTTATGCTTGGTGCGGCTCCTCTTTTAGGCCTGCGAGCCACTGAAGAGGCTAACAGAGGGGAACCTTCTGGCAGCAGGGGGCGCCGGCACGCCCAGCACCACCAGCACGCCCCTCTCCGTAGACACGGCCTACTCCAGTGCGCGGCAGGACACACCCAACAGCTTTGGGCACACGCCGCAGTCGCAGGGCACCCCGCACACGCCGCGGCCTGCCGGCACCCCTTACTCCCAGGACTCCAGCTACTCCAGCAGGCAGGCCACCCCCTCCTACCAGGCCGGCCGGGCCGAGGGCTCGGGGGGCTACAAGGCTCGGAGGCACGACACCAAGTTCCAGGATGCGTACAACCGCAGGCCGGAGCGACACTACGTGCACGGCACGGGGGGGGCCTACCGGGCCCTGGAGCCAACTGCTTTTAAGGCACAGCCCCCCGAGCCTCGGCAGCCACCCCCTCCGGAGCCTGCCCCCAGCCCAGCTGCTGCTCCCGCCCTCCCAATGTTTTCCCACACGCCTCCGCCCCCTCCCAGCAGCACCTGCTACAGGACATTCCCTTCGTATGCGCCACCAGCTCCTCTCCCCTACCCCCCGACGGAGCCGCCCTTCCACCTCCCACCCCCGCAGCCCGAGCCAGACTACAGAATGCCTCCCCCTGCCCCGGTCCCAGAAATGCCCCCACCGGCAGTCAGAGAGAGACCTGTGACACCGCCACCC